ACCCAAAACCCCCGGTCGGCCTCCAGTTTGCTCCCCTGTACTTCTGGGGTATGTTGCCCCACAACACCGGCTTGCCCCGCCTAAGCATTTCTTGGAACAGTTGCGCCCTCCGGACAGGGCTCTTCGGCGCAACACATGGCCCCCGGCGTTCCACACAACAGAGACCCAGCCGGCGTGAGGTACAATATGACTATGAAACTGAGCGAGTGACGCCGCTCCCAGCTCGACAGCAGTGGGCCCGATGTGCATCCATGGGGTGGTTGTTGCCGCCCGCAGCCACGGGTTGCAACATGCGGGTGGCCTTTTTTGCTGCCACCAACTGGCCCGGATGCTGGACATGCCGATTTGCCGTGACTTTGTATGCGCCCTCTGGAAGCTAAGGAGTACTGTACAGTACACTGACAACATGGAAACAGTACTATGTCAAATGTGGCTCGTGCTTGTGCATGGCCGAGTCTGGAAGACAACCGGACATATAAGGAAGGAAGAAAGGTTATCCGTGTAGAGTGCCATCACGTCACTAGCATCAATGAGCTAGTACTTCAGGATAGTGATGGCAACACGCTTGTTATTGCAAAATGCGGGGATAACATATGGAAGGACCAAAAAGACCAGGAGGTTGTAGTCGAGTTCTACTGATCGCTATTCTAGAACGCTTTCTTGTCGTTAGGCCGTTAGCCCTGGATAGTCAGGATAGCAAAGGATTGGGGGCTACGTAGACTAGTGTAGGTACAAACAGTGTCCAAGGTGGACGAAGAGACATGTATACCGGCACGGATTCCCATCCCTCCCTTGTGTAAGGGAAGCCGTGTCTTCTCGGGGGACTTTCTCTCACCTCGGCTTCTCTCCTCGTTACTATACTTTACTGATGTAGCAGCCGCTTCCCAAGAAACTGTCAGACTATATAGTTGCGAAGGTTAGATGTGATTACCGAGTTCTACTGAGTTACAACCATGCCCCTACAATCTATTAGATCTTCCTCTATCTGATCCTTTCTATAGAGCAGCCTTCCTTTTGTGATTGAGTGGTCGCAAAATGGACTGCTGAGTCATATTGGCGACCATGTTGCCTTCTGAATCCCACAGCCTAGATTCCGAGTAGGTCCGGCCATTACCGCCGGTAACAGTTTTCATCTCTCTCAAATGCCATCGAGTCAGATCCAGGTCCGTATCAAACAGCCTGAAGGCAAATTCGAGGCTAGAGCATGCCCCAGCGTCGTCCAGAAACATGGCATTATGCGCCAGTGGCAGGAAAGATAATGCACCATCCATGATAAAGCCGAGTCCGGCGTAGTGACTGCACCGCATCTCAAGAGGGTGGCTGCAGCGGAACCAATCCGCCGACGTTTTGGACGTTAAATCCATGCCATCCTGTGGTGTCTTGGTACCCTTTGCAAGGCCATTCAGGTTATTCGAAATAACCCCTTCAGGGGTTCCACGGCACTCGAAGAAGCGACCCAAGAGGTCAAATTGAACACGAAACACCTCGGCCAGTTCTTCCGTAACCTCACCCTTGCTCACCATCCCTCGTATTGTTTCTGACGTGTCCAGACATTTCTCAACCGGTGAATAGCGCGTCTGTGGCGTTGCAGAGTAGACCAGCAGGGAATCCTTCTCTTTCACCTGGAAGTCGACCACCATGATCATACACAGTCGAGTTACTCCGTCATGCTGCTCTTGGCCGATTTCTACCACCCTCGTCGCAAAGGTTCTGGTGTCACGGACGCGACGTATCGAGCACATCAATTTGCGTTCCGTTATGGCCGGGCCGAGATAGTTTCCCATCGCCGAATAGAGCACATAATTCGGGGAGACTGTTTGACTTGCAGCTTCAATCCCAACACCAACTGCGCAGCCTCCGTATGCGATGTTTTTGGTATTACCCATGCGACCAGGATTGAAGCAGCTCGTGAACAGATCCGAGCTGAGTTTCTCCACCGATATTTGTTGCTGCAATGTGCTAGCCATGACTGCTGCAGTTTGTTGGCGCCGTAGTCGTGAAGGTTGTAAGTTATGTGAGTAATGAATTAGCGCAACACAAGGAAGTTGCTATACATATCGGCGAGAAATGAAGGGATATTCACGGCCTAGTATGGGTAACCCATGAGCCAGTCGCTATCTCTGCGGAATGGGTCTTGTTCAGAGGCTATATGTCCTCGCCGGGCTGGATTTTAGTCATGTGCACTAATGTCGGTCAAGCCGACTGCCGAGGTCCATTGTGGATACAGCACATGGTGTGAGAGGGATCAGAAGCACAATCATCACATTCAAACAATCTGAGATATCGCAAACATATCCGAGGTTTATTCGCAGTCAAGGGTAAGACTTTGCGGGAAATCAAAATTCAGCGATGCTTATGTTGTGGCAATCAGATGTTGTTTTCATTGTTATCGCTGTGCAAAGTAGCTCAAGTCAACTGGAACACCATTCGAGCGCAAGTGCCCTATAGCAGCGCGTATTGTAGGAATACTTCATTTCTTTGTTGCCTGTTCTGTGAGTAGGCGGCGCTGCAATCTACGGAATTCCCAGCTGTCGAGTCTAGGGTGTGGAAGTGAATTGCCTCGGTTCTGCGCTACATACGCCACCTGCAGCCCGTGGCTGTGCTTTGCCAAGGCGTGGCGGCGCGGATGCGCGAGCGCATGCGAGATGGCATCATGTGACCGGGGCTGGTGCTACCACAGGGGCGACCTGGCCTGGCAAGACATGAGCCTCTCGGCAAAGGCTCGGCCAGGATCCACTCACAACGACGTGCGATGTTTTCGACTCCACGGCACGCTGCACATTCCAGGCATTTTACATGTGCTGGGATGCGGAGTTCAAGAGAGGACGGTCGCGCATGTTTCAATCGCGTCGCTAATCACGCAGAAATGGGCCAGGGGACCCAGCGGTATGTCCGCAGGCCTTTGCCCTCCTTTCAGTGTCTCTCCACAAAAACCCGGCAGGCCCGGGATTCGGCGTTTGTTTGAGAAATAAGCGTATCAACATGCCGAATTACACGAATTTGTCAAAGCGACACGTTTTGCAGCCCGAGAGGGTTAAGAAAACTCTGGTGGCGCCATGGTGGGTTTGCGAGACTGGGTAAACAGCAACAGCAGTCGACCCCAGCGACGCATACTTGCATATAAATACTTGCCTGGCCAACGGAAAATGTTCTGGAAATTCGAGTTAGAGCATACATGACCCGACGACGTCGATTCTACAATTATGGCTATCCAATTTTCTATATATACCTGCCAGCCCATTCCAACCGCAGTCAAGTCTCCTGATCCATCTTCACGGGACTCTGGACTGTGGTCCCCGCTCTCCTGCACACTGATCTATACTCAGACTTCTGCAATAATTGTTGATTGCCCCCCTAGCGTAGCGGCCACCACCAAGCTTGCAACGTGGATCAAATCCACATTACCGACGCGCTGCATTTTGAAACACTTCGTCGCCACTCACGCCCATGGAGATCATTTTTTTGGCTTCCCAGTCTTGGCCGAACACTTTCCAGGCGTCACTGCAGTCGCAACCCAGATGGTGATTGGCGGCGTGGAGTACCAGTATGCTCCTGCGCTGTACGAAAATGGCTGGAAAGTTCGTTTTCCGCCCACTGACGACGGCAACGGTTTGCCAGCAACGAGAGTCGAGTTCGCGGCTCTCCCGTCGTCCAACGTGATGGACCTGGACGGCCACCACATCAAATTCTACGACGCGCCACACGGCGACACTGACGCCAATTCATTTTTGCACCTGCCTGAATTGGGACTCGTGGTAGCTGGTGATATTGTGTATAACGGGGACTGCCACCAGTGGCTTGGCGAGGCTTCCACGTCGGAGAAACGAGCAAGATGGTTGGAAGCTCTGTCGCAGATTGGGGCGCTGAATCCAAAGACAGTTGTACCTGGGCATACGTTTACACCTGCGCTGGAAGCGAACGAAGCGATTGCTCGGTCCATGCTCGAGAGCACCAAGGAATATATTCAGAGGTTTGAGGAGGAACTGAAGAAGGTTGAGACTAAGGAGGAATTGTTCGAAAGGATGCAGTCGTGGCAGCCACGGTGGAACACTGTCCTTCTGATCCAAGGTTGCGCGGCTAACATACGAGCCAAGTGACCTTGGTTATACTACTTGTTTAGCGGTAAAGAAATACACAATCGCCTCCAGAGCTTCAATTATAATAAGGCCAATAGACACTATCAAAGTTCATTCCACATTTACTATCGCATCGGTAGCGCACACAGCTTCGCGCTTGCCAGGACTTCTAGAATCCCTGTCAATGCCGAGCCAGGCAACGATGGCCGCGTGATATCACGGGTCGATGATCTCGTGGGTATATCAACTTCGTTGCACTGCTATGGCACCGGGGGTTTATTATTTAGAACCCTCTGGAAAGTTGCGCGATGCGGCCTCGTTTCGTACTCTTATCGGCAGTTACAGATGATTTCGTCGTCCATGGACTGAATTACCTGAACCGACACTACTTCTGACCTGCAACGACTGCTTCAACACACTGGGCCAAGTCCTCCTGTGGCAAGCCCAGCTTTTCATTCCACAACCCATTCGTCTCCGAGAAATGCGCCAGCCCGCCCTTTCCGTAAATAGCGGCAGCAATTAGGCCCAGAGTACCTCCGAGCATCCCAGCCTTCACCTGTGCAAAGCTGTCCTCCCATAACCCGTCGACGGTTCCCTGACTTAGCGCAAATTTGACAGCTGTAGCTCTCCCAAGAGCTTCAACCACCTCGTTCTGCGTCACCGTGAAGCTGTTAATGTAAACGTGCTGGTTCTGGGTAATGGCCAAGTTCTTCAGAGACTTCGCGATAGCCCGGCCGACCTGATCCAAGTTTGTGGCCTCGTATGGAATATCCCCGCCATCGAAGACTGTTGCGGTACGTGCAGCCACGTTAATGCCCCCAAACCCGGGGATTCTCAAGCCCCAGTCGAACATGGAGCCTGAGACAACTGCGACCCATGACATCTTGTCCTCTTGGGTCTTGAGAAACTTGACAACGTCAATCTTGTCTTTCAGAAAAGGGATAATGGCGGAGGCATTTGGGTTTGCGGTATCAACTCCATACTCGGATGGCACGAACACTTTGACTCCTGCGTCAATTGCCGCCTTCGCAATCGCCTTCTGTGTTGTCAAAGCCCCCCCGGGAATGATACTCGAAATGGCACAGATAATGGCGTCCTGGCCCTTGAAGATTTGAAGCAGAGATTCATCGGAGTAATCCGACTTGAGATGCTCCACCGATTCTGGGATGACACCCTCAGAGGTCTCTCGTGTCAACGCTGTGACGATGAAGTCCTCATCTAGAAGCGCCTTGATGGTCGATCGGCCCACGTTGCCGCTTGCGCCAACAACGAGAACCTTCTTAACAGCTGGCAAAGTCATGGCGGTCTTTATGTAAACACTGACGGGGTGACTCGAGTATCGAAGCTTTTGTTGTTGCGACAAACCTAGGGTAACATGAAGGCAAGCGCGCCTTTTGAAGTCTGGGTTTGATGGGTGGCTTCTGCCCAGACTCCACGGAGTCGAGTTTAGGCCAGAGCATATCCCCATTAGTCACGTAAGCACACAAGCAATTGCCCGAGGTAGATTGATTAATAGTGATGTTAACCAAACAGACCCAAACCTTCATGATGTTGTCGTCGTGTGGATGCGCCACTGTCTCTTCTGCGTTAGATCGCACGCTATTAGACTTGCGCTAAAATCTGCCGGTTCCGCTGCGACAGGCACGATGCCAAGGCTGCCGTGGCTGCGTTGGTGTGTGGGTCGCAGGGATGCAGTCCCAGCATTGTTCGGCAAACTAAGAATAACCGCATCCACCAGATGCCCAGCCAAGCCAAGGGTGCTCCCACTGGGACACTCGGTCTGTGGGATCCACTTTAGTGAGCCGGTTGATGAGGTTATCATCCCGCGCCGAAGGGGCAGCTTTCAAATACGCACCCCGCCCGCACGGAATTGGGGGTCGAGGGGCTCTGGTGATTCACCTTCGTCTCACCACGATACCACAGTAGTGAGTGTCACCGCAAGAAGTCATCGGACTTGTTGATATCATCAAAGACCAAGCATTTCACTTCCGTCACAGCAACACCTTTCTGCCGTGGACCTTTGTCATGTGACATGTCTGCGCTGTTCACCTCATCAAAGCACTAGTCTTTTCGCCGCCGAAGGAGGGTCCTTTTCTACCATGGACATTGCCATGCCTCTACAGCTCGCTGATGGGCAGGAATCTACCATGGATGTACCTGGAAGCTGGGCTGACTGCATCCTGCCGCTGGGTGAGGAGAGTGGCTTCCGACGCCCCTCCGCAGACGCCGATCCAAAGTTGTCGGCGCTCCTCTCCGCCGCGAGCTACCCCGTTCCCACTCCGAGCAACCGGCAACGTCCGACCCCTACCTGGCCCGACTCAATGTCAACCGCATTTTATGGTGGGCTGTATGTTGAGGCGCCGGGTGAGACGATGCGGCCCGGACATGAGGCAGCTTTTCACGTTGCCGACTCTACCCGGCGCAGCACCGGGGACGTTTTGACGACATCCTCAACATCCAGGTGGAGGGGCAAAGGGCCAAGTCCTGGTGCCGCAAAGCGTCATCGGAAGGGAGCGTCCGAGAAGCAGGTTGGCCGACCGCGAAAGCCTGTGGACTTGTCCGATTGCGATGATCCGGAAGAGGTAAGATTCATATCCGCCGCCGATGCAAGCCCCCCAGCGTCGTGAAGTTGAAACTGACGAGTATATGTTGTCTACATAGCGGCGGCGGCGGCAAATTCGCCTTGCACAGCGGACATACCGTCTTCGCAAAGAATCGCGTGTCTCACTCCTCGCCACGCGGGTCACTGAACTCGAGTCCTCCGTTGACAAGATGGGTGCCGCTATCATCTCGCTTGGAACCCGACTAGTTCAGTCCGGGGCACTCGTCCCACACCCGGACCTAGGGATTTGCTTAGGCGAGACGATGCAGACATGCCAACGGCTGCTGCGCGAGTCGAACGGTCAAAACGAGGATCGCGACATGGAGATTCAATACAGTGGTGGACAAGGTACCGCTTCCGACCCGGTTCTGCAGCTGCCGTCGGAACCATACACGCCGCCGATCCCACCAGTAGATCTGTCGCTTTTGGGATTGGGCAACGGCAATCCAAACCCCAAAGACGGTCGTGGTGGCGCAGCAATCATCACGCACGCTGAGTTCATGGAGAGGTTGCATTCTGCAATCATCTTCTGCGCATACTCCGTCTTAGCAGACCCATCCACACCAGTCGAACGTATAAGTAAACAGTTCCGCCTAACTCTGGCTGTGATGGATCGGAGGCGCATGTTGGGATACTTTGCGGCGTCCTTACAGGCTAAGCTGAGCCGTAGTAGACTTGGCAGGGAGTGGAGCGATGTGCCGTTCTTCCAGCTCGGCGGCGCCGGCACCCACTACTTCTGGTCAAGCGAGAAGCAACGAGCTGAGCAAATTCACAATGGGCAGCAGGGAATGGACAACGACACCGCGTTTCTACCATCGCCCTCGTCGTCGCCCTCGTACTCTGCCTCACCGCCATATTCAGAACGATCGATCACGTGGCCGCACGTGCCCGTCTCGTCATCTGTTTTCCCTGTCGACGTATGGCAGGAGGTTGATGGGGACTGGTTCGACATGCAGGACTTGGAGCTTTACCTACGCGAACGCGACACGACGCTTTTTAGTGAAAATGCTGGAGGTCCGAGGGGTTATAGTGCAACCGCGCAATCATCTCTAAATGGGTTCGTCAATGCCGAATGGCTCATTCGAAGTAAGTCCCTCCAAATTTCTTGCCAATGAATTCCGTAACGCCATGCTCACTTTCTCAGCCCTAATACAAAGGAAGACATGTCTGGGCCGTTCGGCGGGCTTTCGGCGGCGAGACGTAGAGTTTGCCTTGACAGGTACGATATCTACACTTGCCTGACGGCCCTGGGCGGCCACTGCCTTGTCTTTGGAAAGCGAACAGATATAGAACGGGTGCGACTGAGAGGATTGCTGAACGGGCTCTTCGATCCACCCGAGGAGATCAACCCCCGCACTTGGGCTCAAGTGTATTTCCAAATCCCTCTTCGCCCTCTTCGCCAGTGAAGATCCGATGCTCCTGGATCCATGGGCAAGTGTAATCGTCTTAGGGTAAGCCTAGACTTACATGTAGGGTCTCGAGCGCCTAACCCACGGTCCATGGAGAGTCGAACTTCTGGGTTTGTTGGTGGTAAGATCCATGTGTCACCCAGAGTGCAGCACGACTGAGTACTGGTGTTGGCAAAGGTTACTAAGATATAGTATCACGGAGCGCCACTAGCCGGTGGTTTAATGGAACGATATCAGACGGAAAGCAGATTGGGAAGGCGTCATTACTGACACGACTGCTTGGCTTTCCTGGCCGTCTCAAGCGTAACATTGCCAACCTGCAAGACCATGCCCATGCCAACAGCCTGGTGCCAGAGAACATGGCAATGCATAAGCCACAGACCAGGATTATGGAGCGGAAAGCGTAGGACGACGTGTCCCTGCGGTTTAATGTACACCGTATCTCTTTTTAGCGGCGTATCCAGGTTACGTTGCTTGTTTGCCTCATGAGCATCGTCGAAGGGGTTGTGCGTTTTACCGCGTGTGGCAGGCTGTCGCGAGGCGACGACGTAGAACTCATAACCGTGCTGCGAAGGGCTTGCATTAGTTTACTTCATAAATGGAGTCGTTTGATCCTTTAAGAGCGCCGCGTACCAGATGAAACGGGTGGCCCTTGTCGTCAACGTTATTCACAACCAGCTCCAACCATCTCTCGTCACCAGTCTCGAACCATGGAACACGAAAGTCTCTCATGGGATTCGCTTGAACGGTTCCGTTTGCCCAAGTTGCGTTATCCATGGCCAGTAAAGGTTTGGCGGTGGGGTCTTTCCACACCCACGATGTATGGTTGAGCTCGCCCCATGGCTCATCATTTTTGAACGAGTTGATGGCGAGGCTCGTATATAGCAGCGCCACCTCGACGGGGTCGGTTCGTAGCATAGACGAGTCTGGAATACGGGGTGCCTCTGTATTATCCAGATCGTAGATCTCAACGACTGCGGTCTTTTGTTTCCGACGGAACGCCGCGTCGGAGGGATCGGTCCAGATAAGCGGGAACAATTGCTTGCTTGTGAGCGCAGGATTCCAGACGGGCATCAACCTGCACCAGACACAGTCAGCTCAAAGCGCCACTGTCAATAAACATGTTGGAAACGGACTCTGGATCCAGGATTATCGCGATGGTAGCATCCGTGATTTTGGTGGTGCGGTCCTCTGGAACCAGAAGTACGTCAACCCGTTGACCGGGATAGATTACTCCAATTGCACGCGTCTGCGGCGTCGTATTCGACACCACTCCGCCTCCATCGACCGTAATCAGCTGGAAAGATGCCCCTTTCAGCTGAAGAGAGTACCCCGTGGATGATCCAGTGTTGATAACCCTCACCCGTGTAGCTCTCGTACCCGGGACACGTACCACAGGCGTGGCTGTCTCCACGCAGTCGACCGGTGCGCCAGGACGAGCATCTGAGCAATTATATGACCCGCAACCGTTTATGAGCAAAGAATCCGGAGCCGGCTATGCGATGCGTTAGGATCTAAACACGACGATGCAGGCAGTTGATGAGGTTACCTCGTATGCAAAACTTCGAAAGTCTTTATATTCGGCGATGACGGCATCGGCGCTGGCATGATACCAATCACCAATGAGTAGTAGCTTCTCACTGTCGTACTCGTAGAGAGACAGGTCGCCGTTTATCTGGTCCTGATCGGCAGGCTTGTGGACGATGAGGCCGCCGTATAAGCCGTCTGCTCGTTTTACCGCCGAATGTGCGTGGTACCAGAACGTGCCGTGCTGCTCCTGCGGGATCTGGAATTTGTAGGTAAACGAGTCCGTGGGCCGTATGGAGCATTGCGTCACGCCAACGACGCCGTCCATCTCGTTGGCTTCTGACGTCCTATTAGCCGGCAAGACTGGCGCGCACAAACACTGGTTGACACGGGCTCACCTTTCATAAGCATACCGTGCCAGTGCACGGCAAGGCCATCGTGGGTATCGTTAGCAATGCTATTGGTGATTATCACTTCGATTCGGTCGCCCGATCGGGCTTCTATTGTTGGACCTGGAAACTGGCCTGCTTGCCAATTAGCAACCCGTTCTCGCACTACTGTACGGAGTCGCGAGAGTCGTACCGTTGATGAGGTAGATGTCCTTGAGCACGCCATCCGGCCTGCGTGTCCCCTTGGTAACGTTCCAGTTCAGGTGAATTGTGCGTGGTTGGCGGAATATGTGCCGTTGCGGGTGCAGGATGGATGGGTCGTCGTCGTGGAGGTTGTCGCCGGGTTCAGCGTGGCTTTGCGGCTCTGTGATCTCGGCGCCACTGCCGTCGCCACCATCGGGGAGCCAAGCGCTTGGCGGTGACGAAACTTCCGATCTGCTGTATGTCTGGACAATCGCAAAGTACAGGCCAAAACAGATGATGGGAATCATCAGCCAGAGGCATAGCCAGGAGGACAACCCCGGACGGCAGCGTTTGGCGGGCGCATTCTGACTGAAAACAACAGGCTCCATGGCCCCGACTTGACGGAGAGCGAACAAAAAAGAATGACAGTGGTACCACTAGCCCACTTGTTCTTGGGCAAGTCGCGCGATCCAAAGACATGGTCCGCCCAGGACGACGGAGCAATTGGCCTCAGCAGAACGGCTCATTCCGGAGAAGAGGGTAGGAGTGGTGGGCTTGCAGATTGTCGAGCTTCGCGCAATGAGCCTGCTCGGGGAAGTCGTTATGAGTCAACAAGAAGGTCTCTGGATGGAGTCGCAGCCATGCTCCGCTGCAAGTTTGCGAAAATGGAACCGGCACGTGTCCGTGGCTTTCCCGGCCAGCATGTGCCTGCACGTGGCTCGCGACTTGGAACCACGAAGACGGGCAGACTGGATAAACATGGAATCAGAGTTGCAGGACCATGTCACACACATCAAGCGACTCCAAACGCCGACATCGTCAATGGCAAAAAGGCAGCGTTGGTGATCAACACTGTCGCGGCCGGGGCCCGCGCACGTGGGCTCGCTCGTTGGCGGGCATATGTCCACTAGCCGTTGCCAAGTAGCACCGCCTGTCCTCCCCATGCCACCACCTGTCCGCACCAATTGAAGTTAGCCAATGTAGTACTTCACTATAATAACAGCCAGGCCGGCCGGGGCGCACCAGGATCCATCACGCCCAATACACAAGCCATGCGATCCAGGGCCCAAGCTCAACTCTTTCTCTGGCTTGGGGCACATGCACTGAGACACGTTACACTGCGCAGAGTCTGTGGATTCCGCTAGACTACAAAGGCCGCCCCAATCCGTCGCGGCGCGGTCGCACCACACACCACGTGTGTTCTCTGCCGCCCTTTGTCTCGCCGGTCACGAGAGCCAGTCACACAAACAGACGGAAGCGGTCCCGATGTCCGCATGACACGGGTGTGCAGTGGGATTGTCACTGCGCGTTGCCCCGTACTATGCCGTGTCGATTTCCCGCCTCTGGCGATATAGCTGAACGACCGCGACGTAACGATGCCCGTCAGCGCTCGAGTTGCTTTCTCAACACCCTCAGTACCCGCCGTGTCTCTATCAACTTTGGCGGACACGTTCGTTACAATCGCTGCATCACGTCCGCATAGGTCGCACTACCTCTAGCCGATGCCGGCTCTTTAGCCTTGCTCCATCCCGCGAGGTTGTATCGGTTCACAATCCACCCTGGGCAAGCGCCTCCGCTTCAGAGCCATTTCGACGCCAGGTCGTGCTGCATCCTGGCCGGCTAATTGGTTCACTGTGACGCTGCGCTGGCGCAGCTTTGTGTCTCCTGGCGCATTGCATAAGAAAATTCCTCCTTCGGCCGTCTCTATCATCTGGTGCCAGTTCTGCTAGCCCCCGATCGCCACGCCCCCGAGTTGCACCACTGGAGCGGGACTCTCGGCTTCGCTTGTGTGCAAACCTCTGCTCAACTAGGTCTATTGGACTCGTTGGAAGCGGGAGTCCACGTCTTGACAACGAGAAAGGAGCCTAGGACTAGCTCCGGCAAAATTGTCCCGCGGCGTGTCCCCGGTGAGCGATGGCACACGTCGTGCCTGTAGCTCACCACTCTTATAAGCTTGCGTTGTCCCCCTCCTGTTGCCTCAGCATTCAGTCAAACCTGTGTCTCAATTGAATTGGTCGTATCGTCGACGGTGACGATAAAGTCGCGTCATGTGGTATTCTGCGCTAGGTGTTTCCCTACTGGCCTCGGCTGCCACCGTGCACGCCGGGTCTCTGAAGGACATTAAGCACATTATCCTCTTCATGCAGGAGAATCGATCCTTTGACCACGTATGTGCATTACCCTCTTGCTTCTCTTCTCGTTCAGCTAAATGGTACCTAATATGTGATAATAGTACTTTGGCACCATGCCTGGTACGAGGAACTTTGGCGATCCCAACGTCCACATGAACGATGGCGTGCCTGTATGGAAGCAGTAAACCGCCAAATCATCGCCTCGACACGTAGGGGTCATTTGCTGATCGCTCCAACCACAGAAAGATCAAGACCCCGCAGAATGGAGTCAGTTACATGACTCCCTGGCACATAAACTACCTCGGTGGTGACTGGCCGGAAGCAACCCAGTGCATGGGTGGCGGCTCCAACGGCTGGGAGGCCATGCACGGTGCTTGGAACAATGGAAAGGGCGATGGGTGGGCTCTCTACGATACTGACTATAGTATGGGCTATTACACGCAGCGGGATGTCCAGACGCACTGGGACATTGCAAATGGCTGGACCATCATGGACAACTCGCACCAGAGCGTGCTCGGTGTCACAGACCCCAATCGCATCATGTGGATGAGCGGCTCGGTCAATGCAAAAGGCTCGCCCACAAATCCCAATGGCGAAGACGGCAACATTCTCTCCAACCGCGCTAGCCCTGGATGCGACCGACCCAAGGTCAACTGTTTTCCCTTTGTACACAAGACGGTTCCAGAGCACCTCGAGGAAGCAGGGATCACTTGGCGCGTCTGGCAGGATTTCGACAACTTTGAGGATAACATGCTGGCCTACTTCAAGCAGTACCAGGATGCTCCTAGTGGTAATGTGCTTCGCGATAACGGCATCTCTTTTCCCGGTTTGCAAGCCTTTTACGACGCATGTGCCAATGGTACTCTGCCCCAGGTTAGCTGGATTGTTGGCCCAGCTGAGCAGACGGAGCACGCCCCCAACATGCCCATCGACGGCGCCTGGCTGCATAAGAACATTGTCGACGCCGTTATGCATAGTCCTGTATACAACGAAACGGCTCTCATCATTAGCTACGACGAGCAAGGTGGCTGGGCTGATCACGTCATCCCTCCCGTCGCGCCTAGTGATGCTGCCGGCGAGTGGATTGAGGACCCCTTTAATCCGGCCAACGGTGTTGTGCCCATTGGCCCTGGTAAGTGTCCTGACAGCTTGCGACTTGGGATAAGTATAATAGCAGCATATTAGCTAACCATGCACCCAGGCCCTCGTGTACCTCGCTTTATCGTCTCTCCTTGGACGCGTGGCGGCCACGTCTTTACGGAGACTGGCGATCACACCTCGGACATCATGTTTCTTGAGGCTTGGGCCGCAGCAAACGGCTACAATCTGAGTGCATCCGGCATAACACCCTGGCGCCGCGAGCACATGACTGACATGGTCAACGCCTTTGACTTTGAGAATCCCGACTACTCGTTGCCTCATCTTACCCCTGTCCGTACCCCTGAAGCTCGCCCGGACAACAACTGGAGCGGCAACCTGTCACTGGGCTCCTTATCCGGCCCTTGGGTTGGACCAGCTAAGTGTCAAAAGGGGTTTGCCCATGGCAACTATCCCACCATCCCCTATGGCGAAGAAAACGCCGGGCAGAACATGGCCTCGCTCGTCGAGGACGGTTATAAGCTTGTACGGGGAGCCATCACTGAGGGTCGCTTCGTCACAATCGAGAGCGACGGGTTGGCCCTGGCACGCAATCGTAGAGCCAGGGTTCTCGGCGTCCAAGCGTTCGAGAAGCACGACCAGATCAAACAACGCTGGATCCTCCACAGCGCCGACGGCAATCGATTTGGAAACAGCTACTACCTCCAGTCCGCCGTCGACAATATGTACATTGCCGGCGATGGCGGCCTTACCAAGGACAGCAAGATGGCACAAGCATTCATCTTTGCCTACACTGCTGCTGGATCGACATATACTCTGAGCATCGGGGACGGGAAGTACCTCAGTTTCACTAAAAAGGACAAGGTCAACAAGACGTGCCGCGATGTCGGCAAGGTAACGTTTAGTAACAAGGCCACCAACTTTCAAGTCTTTGGGGTCAACTACCGCTCTTGAGACTGCCATGGGCTTGGACATGAAATGTGACCACGAGAATCGGCAGAACAAAGCTTAGTATAATAGAGTCGAACGACGGTCTACTTTTGCCGCGTAGATGCGCACTTTATAACGGAGAACACGCGAGGTACTATAGCTAGAGTTATTCTATATCATATTAACCTTGAGTAACTATCACCAGTAACACATGTGCGGGACGGCCCGCCATCTGCACCCAGGGTCACTCACTTTTCCTCGATGAGCTCGCCAGCAAGAGCGCCCAGCAGCGCGAGAGGTAAATCATCAAACAGAAAAAGGAGGTTCAGATCTCGACGCAGCAATTGGTGTAAGCCGGCCCAACTTTGAGCCGGATGGCAGGGCAGAGCCTCAGCTGCACCGGACGATCTCCGAAATGTCTCTACCTTGGCGACGCGCTCTGAAACAGGATGGCAGCGCACTTTTAAATGCATTGACCGCAAGTGAAGGGACAATCGAGCCACGGGCGATCTGCAACTCTTCAGTCAGCGTATAACCTTCTCGCAGATTTCTGCGTACTACAATGGAGAGCATCATTCCGCTCACGGTTGGTCGCGTTTCTGGCTTGATTGCCTTGGGGAACGCCATTGGTAGGCCACGACGCCCAGTTCGCTGCTGCGCGCCTACTTACCAGTACAGTGACTTTCACTGTTCCGCTTCTGCTTGCTCTCTTGCTCGTGCGGCACTTTGACACCTCCGTCTCCGCCGCCACATGGTGCGATTCCACCAGCTGCCACCGGGATCTTGCTGACCGTTACTCAGGTCTGTGCTGGGCCGTCAATTACACTCCACGGCCTGGCCGTCATTTGTCCGAGCCGACTCTGTTGCCGGAACACATGTCCACTGGACCGTGTCGACGGCGGCATACTCCAAGTTGGCCCTGGCTTTTCTTGGCGTCATATGTGGCGTCGTTACGCCTCTAGGGCTCGGAGACCAGATCCGGTCCGCTTCTGTCAGAGATGTGCCGTTTGAGTACGTGCGCGATCTGTCCAGTTTTGGGATGAGCACAATGGACCGCCCGGCCATGCCCTTGTCCCGAGATTGCATCATAACATCTGCTTACTGCCCTGGAGCCATTGGGGGGATCATCGGCCAAGATGGAGGCAACGTCTCAGTGAATCCAGAGCATCCCCCCACATCGCGAATTCCCAGCAATATTACCACCATGTTCAGGAGCGCATTGAAGAACTCGACTGTGGCGAGCATATTCGACATACAGTATCGATCGTGGCTACCGTATGCGTCCGAATATTTTGACAGCCACAAGCCGTATCCGCGGGGAAAGTTCCTCCATCTCGACTATCTCATCACCCGGGACAGCATCGTCCTGGTCGAGGGTCTGATTGTGGACATGAAATCCGGCGGGGTGGGCTTTCGCAACCACAGCGCACCGCACGGACTGTTGCTGGGGGCAGAGTGGGAGGAGGATATCTTGTGGATCGAGCCCGAGTTCTCCTGCGTCAATACGAACCTCTCGTACGAACTGGTCATGGCCGACACTCGCAATTCTCACAACTACTCTGTGCCCATTCGATCGATCGAACTCGTCGACGACGGCGGGTTTGCCAACCTTCGTTTGGGAAACCCGTATGATTATTGGCCAAATATCACATACGCATCACCAGACGTGCGTCTGCGAGCAGACCGATCGGCCTGGCTCACCAGCTTCTTGACCGCCTTCACCTACAACATGACAAATGCCACAACGGCAGCGTATGGCATCAACACTACGCTTGGAAAGCACTATGAAGTCAAGAAAACACCCTTCTTCATCTCGGGCCAAGGGGTGCAGACCAGTAGGGTCGATGGCACTTGGCTGTCCCTGCCCGACATTGGTAAGAATGATAAAGGGGACTGGATGGTAGGCAATCGCACCATTGCCTCGGCCAAGGACGATCCATATTGGTTTGCCGTGGGCCTCTTCACCGAGCTCGCCGGCCGATGCAGTGGACAGTACACTGACCAATCAAAGGAAGTGAACCATAATGTGGAATGTGGCTACCTCTTCGCCGCGCCGTCAAGAGTCGACGGCGGCGAACCGCTATTTGAGGAGCCCGGGTCAAGATGGAAGATGCCCGTTTACACCTGTGCCGGCGCAGTCAAGGCTTCAGTGAAATCAGTGTCATTTGCGACAAACGGAACCGTGTCCTTGGAGTCTCTTTCTGTACTGGACGTCAAGGAAAAACAGTACAAGAGCCCTACCGACCACCCCCTCTGGGCCACGGAGGACTGGTGGTTTCCAGGATACGAGGGCGCATATGCCGCGCCGCTTTGGGGCATCGTCAACGATTCGTACGAAGGCACACCCGGCTACAACTTCACGCGGGCGCCTTCGTATTACCTGCCCTTTTCGTACTACGACCTGACGTGGAAGGGCATGTCCTCGCCACTGGACATGCTCGCCGGTCCAGTTGCCCCATACGGCATCATGGGCCAGGTGCTCACCGGTATCTTTTCCGATACTAGTCTAAACGCCAACATACCTCGGTACTCGGGTGTCGATACCGGAGCGCTCCGAACCAAGTGGCGCGCATTATCGCGAAAGCCCGAAGATGCCGAGAAGCTCCTTCGTCTGGTGTGGACGGACATGATGGCCAGCGCCACAGTCGGCACTGTAGGCACAAGCGACACAGAGGATGCAACCACGGGTCAACAATCTGGTCAATCGGTGCAGCCGGACGCGATGGCCGCATTATTTCCGAGGAGCGTCGCCGTTTTCGAACGAAGGGTCACGTATGATATGCGATACGCCATCCCAGCGCTTCTCTTCCTTGCGTCGTGGATCTTCCTTGTACTGGCAGCATCCATCACAGCTCTCCTCAACGGACAACTCTTGAGACAGCTCAAGCAGCTGCTAAACGACACCAGTGTAGGCCGTGTGGCAGTCGGCTCAGCGGATGGTGAACACCAAAACTTGCTTCGTCTGTCGACCCGGGACTGGCTGGATGCGGTTGGCCACCTTCCATTACTGCTTTGGAAGGACCGTGAGGGTTATGACGAACTCGAACAGACTCCGGCCGGTTCCAAGCTGGGCGCCGAAGCACGTTTAAATCCGGTCTGGCAGTCGGGCGGTATAGAACGATGACTGATGGATGTATACTGAGCAGGCATACGGCCGAGCAAGATGCCTAGCCTTAAATCTCGGGAGGCCTCTAGTAGCTAATAGAGATATAGCACTACTTATACCCGCCCGCTGCTAGGTCCTGTCGGTTATATAGGCCTCGGGATATTATCTGTGTCTCTATTATAATAGTCGGCTAGACTTAGAGCCTTAATAGCTATATAGTATATATATAATAGCCGGCTTATTAATATAATGCTTAGGTAAGGGAACCTTATTAAATATTATATATATATAATAGGCCCGATCTATAAGGTAAAAGGGCCCGCTTTATTAGCGTCCGTTAAAGCTTAAGGGCTAAGCTTTAGTCTTAAATAGAAGACTAGAATAATAGAGACTTAGTTTATATACTAACCGATTAACTATCATACTCTTACTTAATTACCTTAAATAGCTTATATAGTTATTATAATTCTTAAAGCTTCCTTTTAGTTACTTAAGAGATAATAATAGTCTCTATAAGGAATTACTAAATTATTAATGCTATATTAAGTATAGTATAGTAAAGGGATTACCTTACTATAAGTATTATAAAAGGATTTAATATTATACTAGCTATAATTAGCTTTTTAGTAAAAGAATAAGCCTAAGCGATTAAAGTATAGATTAAATAACTTAAAAACTATAAATATTATAGGAAAAAGAGAGGGAACTATAAGAGTCCTTAAGGAAAGTAAAGAAGCCTAGTATAATATTATTATAATATAAATAAGGCATTCTTAACTCCTTTAATAATAATATAAAAGTAAAGATTATTAACTTTTTAAAATTAAGCTATTTAATAAACCCTTAATATTAATAAAATTAGCTATAAGATTATAATAAAGCTAGCTTTATTAAATAAGAGCTAATTAACTTATTAATATTAAATATATTATAAGAAAGTAAAATAGGGTTATATAAGCTAGCTGCCTTTATATTTTATTAAGAAAAGAATATAGCCCTTAATAATATAAGCCTATAAAAGGAAAAACGCTATAAGTAAAGATATTATAAGCTAGATAAATAAAGTATATATAAAGAGGGTAGTTTCTTACTCTTAAAGGAGAGAGGAGGATATACCTCTATAATTATAATTAATAATAAATATTATTTTTACCTTATTTAAGTTACTTTAGTTATAATACTTTATGCTATAATAAATAGCTTTACTTTACGAACTTAACTCTTATATAGATTTATAATATATATAAATATAAGAGTTTTAAAGACCTTATTTATTTAATTAAAGCCTCCCTAAAGGCGGATAGCTATCTAGTTAGAGCTAGGTCTATAGCGCTAGAAAGCGTAGGTAAGGCGGTCGAATATAGGGACCTTTTTTGCCCCTAGGGGTAAAAATATCTACGCCTATTTAGCTAGGGATAAGTCACAGAATATAAGCTAAATGCCCTACGGACCTACTACCTTTTGCCCCTAGGGGTGAAAATCCGGCGGTTATTTCTAGGTCGCCCGTCGCCTTTATATGCTATAGTATACGACTAAACGATTTGAGGGTGGTTCGAAGGTATATAGTAGACGATATCGAAGCGTAACGGAGTTGCAGTAAGCATACTATAGGCGTCGTAAGAATTACGAGGCGAGGCGAGGACGATATAACTTATAGATGCCTGGGCTGTATAGTTAGGCAACGGCGCTAGGCGACGCCCCGCGCGGGCCGTGCCTTAGTGGAGTGATTAGAGGGGTTACGGAACGGGGAGACTGCAGTAAACCAGCCTCGGGATAGAGCCGGGCGTATCGTAATGCACCCTATTATTTAGCGGCGCTACGTCATACTGCTTCCCCGCTTCCATTCCATGCATTAAGGCTAAGAGTCGAGCTAATAGGTAGGGGCCGTTTAGCGCGGGCGGGCCGCGGCGCCTGAGGCAACTCGTCCGCCTGAAGTATCGGACGATATCTAACGACCCTTATTATAGAGCTAGAACTCCGACTCCGATAGCTTAGTATCGAAACTAGCATAAGGCGATTTACTATAGAAGAGTAAGCAAAGCCCCTAATCGACTTAAAGAACTTTATCGATACTCTAAAGTCGCTAACTGATTAAGCGGCCTTATTATAGGGGATGCCTAAGGTATAGAACGGTGCACGACTCGAGAGCGCTATAAACGGCATATCGAAGCGGGTAGATACGCTAGGTAAGCAGATAGAAGAGGTTATAGCTACCCTATAGACGATCGAACGAAGGCTCGCTAAACTATAAGCGTAGTTAATCCCCGAGTAGTATAACTCTTAAACGTAATATTAACGCATGCATAGCATAGAGCCTATATATAGGGCCGGGCTAGACGACGCATAGCTGGACGGCAATGAAGGAGACACCTACCCAGAGCAGACGGTAGCGACTACGAGGGAGGCCTTACTAAGCGGCAGGTAGGGTCTAATGCGGGAAAGGGTAGGCGAATTAAGCGGTAAGTGCTTCTTTAGCAATACGATGACGCAAATAGCGAAGCTAATATATCTATATAGCGTAGCTAGTTCCCTTAGTGAACCTTTTTCTAGAAATACTAAGCGAGGGTATTAGGGGCAAGGCTAGTATAAAGCGGCAGCGACTACGATAGGCGCTAAATCTGTCGAATGGAACTATACTCCCGTAGTCGTCGACGTCAGTATTTGAGGATATAAAGGAAGCCTTAGAGGATGCTATAGAGAATACTGTAGAGGATACCATAAAGGGCGCTACGGAAGTATAGCTGCCTGGCGAGTCTTAGACATCGGCCAAGTCGCGAATAAATTCAGGCCGTCTAGTAACCTTAATTATCGGGTCAATCTTAGCTTCAGGGCCAATCTTAGATATAAGAGCTGTAATAGCGCGGGGGTTTAACTTTATATGCGTTTTACTTAGTGAAATTCACTTACACACAGCTAAATGCCAGCTAAAAGCCGCCTCCCGGCCACCACACGCTAGCGTAAACGCGCAGAACAGCGAGCTCATCCTAGTGACCGATAAGTCCTAAAGGCAGGCACCTATTTGGCCTAGCCCGCCTCGTCCGCCCACGTCCCGATTAGGCGTAAGCCATTTAAAACCTAGGTTTCAAAGTGGGTCCCCCCGCAGTTGGCTTGCGCCGTTGCGGCCTCGGTGACGGTCGGTGCCAGCTAGTGTCCCGTCTCCTAGCTGCCCTAGCCCTCAGGCGTGACAGTCGGCGGTGGTCCCGACTTCGGCTCGGGCCGGCTGGATCGAGGTGCTCGACAATCCGGCTTCCCATCCTGGGAACGTCATGAGCACGTCCGCCGGAAGTCGTCCTGGCGTCGCGTGCCTCTGCAATGGCCGGTGTCAGACGCGAGCCTTGGGCTGACGCCGATGACATGAACAGGCCACCAAGCGGCTGTCGGCGATTCGTGCGACCAGCGTCAAAGAAACAATGGCGATGCAAGCAAGCGTGCACGTTGAAAGACCAGCGCGACGAGTGTGTATGGCGGGATGAAGAGTCGAAGGACACGAGAAACTGCGCCGCGTCCTTATTATGAGCGTCCCGAAACGGAATGGCCCAAACGGGCGGCTGAACGGGACGAGGTTGCCAAATTGCTTTTTCGATGCGACGCGAAAGTGGTCGTGGAGGTGACGGAGGCAGTGCGTTTGCGTGGTGATAATTGGCTAAATCGCAAGCCACGTTGCTTTTTTGATTTGACATGGGTACGGTTAGTCGAGACTCTGCGTTTCGGCCGACGCATTGCGCGGGGACCATGGAAGCGGAGGCGGTTCTTCTTTCATCAACATAAGTGACAGCGAACGCGCAGAGCGCACTATATCATGTCAGCACGCCGAAATCGACAGCCCTTCGTACCCCATTCCTTTTCCTGCGCTCCAGCTGGTGGAACAGAATCCGAACCATGTCTTACCATGTCTTACATACTACGCCACGTTGATTTAGTCGTCTGTCCCCCAAGAATTGCTCTATAAATCGGGGTGTTCCTGCACCGAACTCGGCTCAATTCCTTGCCCTTCTACAGACTGTTCGTCACTGACAATGAAATCTACATACTTTATCGCTGCCTTTGTGGCCCTCGCGCAGGCCAAGTCTATTGATGACATACCTGCGTGTGCCCGCGATTGTCTCAGGAATTCGGTGAAGAAGGTGACACCACAATGTGGGGAGTCAGACTTCCATTGTATCTGTCCGAAATTCGACGCCGTGAGGGGTGACGCTGCGGGCTGCGTTCTGGGCGCCTGTGGAGCGGAAACGGGCAAGGGTAAGCATTGCAATTCTCGTGGCGTGCAGCGATGGTTTGCTAACCCGGATGAAAAGTCCTCGACGCTGTAAGAAAGCTTTGCGAGGGCGAGTGAGAAGGACAGGTCATCACCTGTCGCAGCACGAGCGGGTCAGGCTTATGTCGTGTCGGACGAACTCCATCAGACGTGATTGTGGGCGGCGTTGGACTCCTCTCGCGCGGGCCTTTGTGAGATACGCCTGCAACCAGCGAAAGGCGGGTTAAATCTGCAGAATAGTACGAACATGGACCGAGCACCGATAAAGTTCCGTACAAATTATCGTCAGTCAGGTGTGGCTCGGGCCCGGCTGTTTCTACACAAGGCCCAACGTCTCGTAGTAATTACTACGGACGTGAGTACCACCCCGTACGCCAAGAACGTTTTCGCGCCTCAAGTATCCCCGGCGCCTGATGCTTGTTATGGTTGTCCGAAACGGAATAGCCCAAACGGGGCGGCTGAACAGGACGAGGGGTCTAACTTGCTTTTTCGGGTATAGCGAGAGTGGTCAGCGGAGGCCCCTGCGTCTATCCGCGACAGGCCCTGCAACAGGCCTCCGTGCGACCCTTTGCAATCGTCGCGGCGTCGCTAGCGTAGACCGACTTCCTCCCTTACTAACGCATGCTGGAAGAGGCCCAAAACGCACGATATAGCCGCACGCCTATCCCGCTAGAGCCCGGCTAGTATAGGCAAGCGCCTACGGGATGCGAGCGAGGAGAGCACCCCTACTAAGGCCGCGCGGAAGCGACTCGAGGACGGCTAGACTACCCTAGAGCAGGCCGAGCCATATCGAATTTTAACGGCGACGATACCTATAGACGCGCTTACGGCGGACTAGAGTATAGGGAGGAGTAAGGGGAGCAATTGGCCGATTAAAGAAAAGTACGTTAACGCTCTTTACACTATTTTCTAGCGTGGGGACATAAAGCGGGCGAGTTATCCGCTCGCCGTGCTTAGCATGCGTTCCGACGTCTAATATATACTTTACGAGATAGGCTACGATAGAGATACGATAGAGACGGAGGACCTGCCTGCGTTTGACAATTAGCTGGTTAACCGCCGTCCGGTCGAGCTCCTCGACGGCTAGCATCGTATCGCGGCTCTTAAACGACTCGTATCCAAAACCGGCGCCAACAAACAAGAACTCTACTAGCCTTGTAATTTTTACGACCGTGGTATGCTATACGCGACGGCGGCGGACAGGCTGCCGCGTACGTATCGCGACTAACGAGATAGCATAGATACGCTTCTACTCTAATTGAACCTCGAGCTACGGATGAACCGTCTAGACCCGACTATAGCGGATAGCCACGGCGACATCTAGGTCTAGCTTATAACCGCTACGTCCGAGAGGCCCGGCATCTTCTAAGGCACCGTTAATAAGATTAAAGAGCAGATGCTTGACACGCTACGTCTCAGCAGCGACACCGGCTTCCCTTCCTCCCGGCTCGTCGCCCTCTGGCGCAACGAGCGCTGGCGGCAGCTACGCGGTAATGCGAGACGGCCATCGGCCGCGCCACCTTCTAGATCACGACCTAGGACTAGATGATATACTACTAGATCGACGATATGCGTATGTAACGATTGACATAAGACCTCTGCTAATGGGGTAATAGTTCTAGTTTATAGCATTTCGGCAGGTCTTAGGCACGCTCGCGTAACTTCCCGGAGACGCCGCGAGACTCGTTTCGTCCAAGGACTAGAAGACGATAAATGCCTCTCTCGACGCCAAGCGGACCCGGGACTAAGTATAGGGTCTTTTCTACCCGGGGGACTACTTAGGCAAGCCGATCAGTGTCGCGAGCGAACGCAACCTTAAGCTACTGCGAGCCTTTAGCGACTGTGCGTACTAGGACATTTACGAGAGGATTCTAAGTACGTCGGCGCTATAGTTCCTAGATATTTATCGCATTACGGGTATATTATAAGGGTAGGGCTGCGTCCTATTCTAGGTTATAGACTACGTCATGAATTAGCTAAACCCTAAGAGAACGATTATCGTCGACCGTCGGAGTAATACGAAGCTATAACTTCGCGTAGACTTCGAGCCGGTACTAGACTACTATACCCTAACGTAGCTACGATAAGCTAAGAAGCGGGTTAAGATTTTCCGTCTATTTACTACGCTATAATTGCTATACGAGAGCGCGTCTATATTACTCTAGAAGGAGGTACTTAAGTACGTATTAAGGCATCTAACGGCCTTTAATACGCCTAAGATAAGGGACTATCTAAAAGACGGAGACCCAGACGATAATAGCTATACGGCTCGTTTTCGCGAGAATACTTAGGCTAATATACTTAAGATCGTCCGCTAGTACGTAAGTAGCGACTTTCGGCCGATATAGCTCCCGGTAGAGGGCGGCAACGATAAACCGCTAGAAGCGGAGCTATCTACGCAAGCGGCGAGTCTAATAGACGCGTTATGTAACTACGACGCTGGCCTATCTACGGTACGCGAAAAGCTATATAGCAAACTACAGTCGTCAGTATTTCGAAGCGCTTTCGCTATATAGCTATCGGAGTAATGCGACGAGGCGCCGGATAGCGAGGCGATACAGTCGGGCGATGGCGCATGGGGTAGTAAAGGCCCTCATGCCGACGACGATGGGTCGACGGTCGTTGTTGCGGCTGCCGCGGCGAAGGGTCCTGGGGTTAAACGTCCTGTCGTCGACCCGAAGCTAGCTTCGAGGCCGGCCGGGAAACCAGACGCGACACGAGACGCTCTAGTGCCTCTGGTTGACGGGGCTCGGTGCATGGCCGAGGGGTGGCCGCCAGATATGGGTGGCAGTCGGAAAGCACTTACCGATAAGGTGCAGGGGAACGGCACGAAGTTGCCCGCAAGACTGCGATGCCGCGGCGTTAACCCGGCTAGGACTAGAAAGCTGAGTGTATAGAACTTTCATAGGTGTGGATAAACCTGTCCAGAAAGCCAAGGAATTCCCTGCCGAGTCTTAGGGATCCGCTGATCTAGGCCCTAACCCGGGTGAGCTATTAGGAGCAGACAGATGGGGAGATGCGGGTAGCCTACTAAAGCAGTCATCCCTCTACGAAATGGGGCATACAGCTATACGACAGAAGTCCGTGCTCGGCATCGTAACGACATTTCGCTACCTAACAAGACTGAGCTTATAGTTACGGTAGTAGCCAGGCGCCTAACCCCCGAGATAAAGCTGGACTAGGTGCTGAGGATGGCACCTATTCTCGATGTTTGCTTGGACGACTCTAGATAAGAGAAGCTTGTAGTTTACCTAAGAAAACTTAATTTAATGCGTTTTTTAGTCGACTGCGAAAAGTAAATGGCGGCGATTATAAATTTAGTAGCCCGCTTAAATGCGAACTCTAGCTACCCGCTTAGGCCCGTTTAGATCTATTTATAGTAAACTTATATTCTAAGAATACGTTTAACGCCGAAGAAATTCCTAGTAGATCTTATTTTCTAGCTAGAAAGAGAAACGCGTCATAGAGTAAAGTCCTATTTAATTACGCTACTATCTTAAGCGCCTATATAGTAAGTAAGTTTACTACCTATTAATACTTAGTATTAGCGGCTGCCTATAACGCTATCTACCTATTAATCCTAGTAGTAAGGGCATCTATCTTAGCTCCTACTATTAGTAGCTTTTTAACGACCTTTAGATAGCCTTTCGTAGCTACTTCCTAGAGCGTAATTCCCGTAAAGATATAACTAGCACTTATAGCAATACTAACTTTAGCGACTACCGCTATAAGCTTATCGACGGGGTCTATATCGCCTTTATATACTACTACTTAAAGCGCTATCTAACCCTTAAAAGTATCGCTAGTAACGGCATTAAAATCGGCTTTTACTGCCAGAGTCTTTTCCGTAATATTATAGTCGCCTCCTTTAACTGCCGCTTAGAGAAAAGTCCGCCTAGCGATTTTAGTAATAGTAATAGCGGCATCGGCATCCCCTATAAGCAGTCTCTTAAGTAATAGCGGAAGGTTAAGTAAGGGCTTTTCCTGGGACATAACTCTATTACGACCCTTAGTCGCAAAAATAGACAGATTAGCTCGTAGAGTTAGGGTCTCCTTTAGAGATATTTTCCCTCCTGCCCCTTAGTGCGCTATTCGACCCTCGGTAGAACCGCTAGCGGCGGCATTAAAATTAGCTACTATTAAATAGGGCTTTTCTATAATATCCGCTTAATATCCCTTACCTATTAGCTAGAGACTAGTGCTACTATAATTATCGTTAGCAGTAGTATTAACGTCGGCTCCTATAGCTATAAGACTCTCGATAATCTTAAGATAGCCTCTCTTAGAGGCTACTTAAAGCGTAATCTATCTAGCGATCTAAGCCGTAATACTATTAACGTCCGCTACTACTATAAGAAGGTTCTCGACGGCCTCTCGATAGCCTCCCTTAGCTACTACTTAAAGTATAGTCTGCCTAGCTATCTATATAGTAATACTATTAATGTCGGCTCTAACTATAATAAGGTTCTCTATAATCTCTATATAGCCTCTCTTAGCGGCTACTTAAAGTATAGTCCGCCTAGCGATCCGAGCAATAAGAGCGTTAATATCAGCTTTTACTATAAGGAGCTTCTTAATAATCTCTAGATAGCCTCCCTTAACGGTAGCTTAAAGCGCAATCCGGCTAGACATCTAAATAATAATAGCCGCAGTATTAACGTTAGCTCTTACTATAAGAAGCTCCTTAATAGCCTTTAAGTACCCTTTACTTACTGCCGCTTAAAGCGCTATTACCGTACTAGCGCCAGTCGAAAGAATATTAATATCGGATCTTATAGCGAGAAATAGCTTAACGATAGCCTAGTACTTAGCCCTAGTAATATATTATAGAGGTATATATTACTTAGCGTCCTTAATATCTATATTATATTTACTTTTAAGAAGTACTTTTACGGCCCTATATATTTTAAAGTGCCCTATTAAATATAGGCCTATTATTTTTCTTAGAACTTCTAGGCCGTTAAGTTACTTTAATCGATATCTCTTTATAGTAAATAGTACTTAACTTAATGCCCTAGCCTTTATATTATCCTTAAGAAAGCTTATAATAGTTAGGTATAGTATTATAGTTTTAGGAGCGTAATGCCCTTAATTATATAAGGTATAACCGTAAAATAGATTATATTATAACTGCTTTATAAACTCGTTATTTATTATATAATATCTAGATTTAAAGACAGTAAATAAGAAGTATATAATATAAGTTATTATAATTAAAGATTCTACC